AGATTGATCGAGTAACAACAGAGGTCTGACTCATTGTATATACAATTGACGCCTGCGTTATAATAATAATAACACTAATAATAACAATAATATTAATAATAATTTCATTATGTATCCCTATAATAATACATTATTATTATTTTAATATTACCCAAGCAAGAGGCCCGGGTTCGACTGTAGGCGTCGGAGAAGTGTGGTCTCATAGTTGTAATGGTTAGCACTGTAGACTTTAAATCCAGCTATCCGAGCACAAATCTCGGTGAGATCCACCTTTTTTTTCACCTTAAGTGCTCATTTTTTTTCCAACTGTCAAGAAATTTGTGCACACATCCACTGTATTTGTTGTTTTATTTGTTTAAGAAAACTCATTGAAAGTTTTATCAATGCATATTTAGCATATTGTATTATTTATTAACGGCATTGTGGCAGAACTTTCAGTTTCCCTGAATCTTTATGCAGATGAATAAGAGGAAGTTTCTATGAAAATTTTATTCAAGTGATGCTCCGGTGCACCTAATTAATGTCCAAGCAAAGTTCATTGCATGGGGCGAAAATAGCAAATGTTAATAATATTGACAAATTGGCTATATTTTAATTATAAAAAGACTTCCTGCTAAAGCATACGGTGTGAATAGAATATTACTGTGAGATTTTACAGAGTAGAACAGGCTTGAGGATCGCCAATAATCCTTCTGGAAATAAGCTCATGAAGAATTTTGTTTTAAATTTCTTGCGCACACTGTTTTTCCTGGGACTCTCAATGAGGTCTTGTACATCTACTGTTCGTTTGTCAACATACAATTCCTACGTTCAACCATTGTTGGAATTATAATGTAAATGCAAGGCGAAAAGTGGTAGCACTGTCGGGACAGAAGAAGAAAGAGCTGGCCGGGTATGCGGGTCGTGTCGCAGCAGCAACGAGGCATTCCTTGCTCGCGCCTCGCGCCAACGTGTCGATGTCGCTGCAGTAGTTGGCATTCCTCTTCACTACATATCCTCCCCCGTCGGAAAATGAGACATCCTGGCGACTCACGGAGAACAGAGAACGAGTGAATCGTAATATTGTTTCCATGGTTTCAACCGCTGTACGTGAATGGTTTCACGACCCCGAAAGCGCTGGTCTGTGGGTGGCGTAACTGGTTCAACGATGTAGTTAACAGGTGAAGTCTGCGAGACAATGTGGTAGGGTCTCTGGTATTTCGAAACAAGCTTCGAGGAAAGGCCTGTAGGGACCGCTGGAACCCCAAGCCACACAAGGGCGTCTGGAACAAAGTTAGGGCACGGGTGGTTATCGTCAAGCCGAGGTTTTTGTCTCCATCGGTTGATGGTTGTGAACGACAGGGCGAGCTTACGGCATTCCTCGGGGCAGCGGGCAGCTTCAGAAATGGGCGTAGACTCTGAGATATCGAGATGGGATGGCATATAGGTATCTAGTGTGGTGGAAGGGTCTCGGCCATATAACAGGAAAAATGGCGAAAAGCCCGTTGTCGCCTGTGGAGCAGTGTTATATGCGTACAACGCAAAAGACAGAATGAAGTTCGAATCGGAGTGGTTTGAGGCAACATATTTGGATGTCATGTCCCGTAAGGAACGGTTGAATCAATCCGTCAAGCCCTTCTTTTGGGGATGGTAGGCGATGGTAGTCCGGTGAATGATACGGCATTTGGCCAGGAATGCTTTAAGACTTTGGAGGGGAACACACTTCCTCTGTCGCGGAGAAGTTCACATGGTGTGCCGTGACGGAGAATGAAGTTCCGCAGGAAAAAAGATGATACGTCACGTGCGGTGGCAGCAGGCAAAGCCGATGTTTCTGCGTACCGCGTCAAGTAGTCGACAGCGACAATGATCCAGTGGTTTTTGGAAGCCTTGAATAGAAGAGGTCCATAGAGATCGATTCAGATGCGGTCGAAAGGCCTGGCTGGGCAAAGGATTGGCTGGGTCGGACCAGAGGTGTGATAAGGCAGAGCTTTCCGTCATTGGCACTGCGGGCATGATTGAATGTACTTGCGCACAGAGGTGTACATGCCTCGCCAATAAAACCAGAAAGAAAGCCGAGCGTATGTTTTGAAAATGCCCGCATGTGCGCACTGAGAGTCAGCGTGGAAAGCTCAACATATTGCAGAACTAAGATGGCGAGGTATGTCCAGTAACCACTTTCGGCCGTCAGACTTGTAATTCCTGCGATAAAGGAGGCCATCGCGGATCTCAAAGTGAACCACTTGACGGCGAAATGTTTGAGAAGATAGAAAAGTCGATGGGTCTGAAGGGAATCGCAGAAGAGCTCTCATCTAGTCATCCTTACGTTGTTGAGACGCCATTTCACGGTTTGCTGGAAACGCAACCGTTTAGTCCATGAAAGATGGAGAAGCAGAGCTTTCCGATGACACAGGTGAACACAATAGGGCGTCAGCATCAGTGTTACGTCGGCCAGACCTGTAGACAACACGCATGTCAAACTCTTGCAACCGCAAAGCCCAGTGAGCTAAACGACCATATGGGTCCTTCAACGTGGATAACCAACAAAAAGCATGGTGATCGGTTACTACGTTGAAGGGGTGACCATATAGGTACGGCCTAAATTTACCTAGAGCCCAAATAATTGCCAGACACTCCTTCTCTGTCACAGAATAATTCTTCTCCGCTTTGGTGAGGGTAAAGTTTGCGTATGCCATTACGTATTCCTGGAATCCCGATTCGCGCTGCCCGAGCACGGTGCCGAGTTCAACACCACTTGCATCGGTGTGTACCTCAATCGGAGCAGTCAGATCGAACTGACGCAAGATTGGCGGTGAGGTTGAAGGGTGGCGCTGCTTTTTGAAGGCATCATCACCGGCGAGGGACCAAGAGTAACTTTTCGAGACCTTCCGTAAACGTTCAGTCAAGGGAGCAGCGATCATCGGAAACTTCCGAGTTAAGCGGCAGAAATACGAGCAGAGGCCAAGGAAGCTTCGCAGATTTTTTTAAAGATGCAGGTTTAGGAAACTCTGCAACTGCCTGAAGCTTGGTGGTGTCAGGAAGAATACCATCTTTAAAGAAAACATAGCCGAGGATTGTGAGCTGACTTGCACCGAAGTGGCATTTTTTCAGGTTGAGCTGAAGGCCGGCGTAACTTCGGCACTGTAGTACTTCATCTAGCCTGCGTAGATGCGTGAGAACATTTGACGAAAATATAACCACGTAATCTATGTAGCACAGGCATGTTTTTCACTTCAGGCCACGCAAAAGACTGCCCATCATCCTCTCGAATGTTGCGGGCGCGTTGCAAAGACCGAAAGGCATGACAAGGAATTCGTAAAGCCCATCAGGTGTGACAAAGGCCGTTTTAGGCTAATCTTCAGGTGCCATAGGGGCTTGCCAGTAGCCCCTCCGTAGGTCAATAGAAGAGAAGAACTCCACACCTTGGATGCAGTGAAGGGAATCGTCGATTTTCGGTAAGGGGTAAACGTCCTTTCGAGTTATATTGTTAAGACGACGGTAGTCAACACAGAACCAAATTGACCCGTCTTTCTTCTTAACCAGAATGACCGGAGATGCCCAGGGGCTATTCGAAGGCTGGATGACGCCACGATTGAGCGTGTCAGCTACTTGGTTACGATCACCTGGCACTCTGTCACAGACACGTGATGAGGTCTTTGACACAGTGGTGAATTGGTGCCCGTGTCGATGTGGTGACACACAGCTGACGTGCGGCCGAGGGGCCATGCTGACAGTCAAAGGAAGAACGGAACTTGTTCAAGAGTCATAGAAGCTGAGCACGTTGCGAAATGGTTAACGTGTGGATGTCGCCGCTCAGTATGTCAGGTGTAGTAAGTAGTCTGCGGCGATGAGGCACAGGTCAATCTAGCGACTTCGTGTTCGGCGAAAGAACCAGTCGGCATGTCAATAATTGCAGAAGGGTCGCGACTATAAACACGCCCAACGCACTCGCCCCGAAGTAGGGTTAGAAGTCATTACAAGAGATTGGAGATGAGCAGTCTGCTAACGCCATCATGAAGTTCCAAAAGGGCATGAGGTAGCTGCGAACACTTGCGACGAACGAAAACGGCAGATGGCGTGAAAAGGGCACTCGTCTCAGTGAGCGTGTTGCAAGACACCACAGCAAGGGCCAAAGAGTGCGGCGGTATGGTAACGTCTTCAGCAACAAATAGTTTGTCCCCAGTTTCAGTAGCGCCATATAAAAGGGCGTCGTAAAACACTTCAAATGCCACCTCAGCGCGAGAGCAGTCGATGACGGCCTTATTAGCGGGGAGAAAGTCCCAACCCAAAATGAGGTCATGGGACCAGGATTCCAACACAAGCAATTTGACGACATAGATGGGGCCGTCAACTGCAATGCGAGCAGTACAGACAGCGACCGGCGTGACGTGCTCTGCGCTTGCTGTACGAAGCAATATTCTTGCTAGTGGCGTCATAAGGTTTTTGAGCAAGCGGCCGTCTGGCACTGATAACTGAGACTGCGGCACCAGTGTCGACAAGAGTGAGTGCAGCAACGCCGTCCACATATATGTCCAGAACATTCGTCGGTGACGAAAGAGGACTTAGTATTTTCGCGGGTGACGCAGTTCCTGCCTCTGGATCTGTGGAAATTAGTTTTCCCGCTCCGGCAATGAAGGACGACAACGCACCGGCAATGGCGAGTGGCGTCGAAGAGATGGCGAGCGGTGGTTAACAGGAGGGCGGTGATTGGCGTACAATTACATCTGGTCGGGGTGCTGAGAGCCTGTGAACGAAGGGCGTGGTGGCACATAAAGGGTAGGTTCGAAGCTCTGGTGGTAGTTCTTGTGATAGACAGGGACACGCCAACGGCAGTATCGCGCTATGGGGCCAGGCAAGCCACAGGCGAAGTATATTGGCAGATTGTCGGGTGTACGCCATTGTCCACTAGTTTAGATGAACCTTGGCTGAGTGAACCGAAGAGTGGACACGGCTGATAGTAGGGACGTAAAAGTCCAAAGAAGTGGCCTTGCGGCAACCACAGCATAAATTAGAGGTGCATTCACCTCGGCACAGGCTACAGGGGCTGGCCACGGCGAACTCTCGCGGGTAGATGGCATTGCCACGCATGCTTGCTCCTGGGTGACCTCACGAATGTTTTCTGGCAGGTGTGATGGTGGTTGGCCGACTGTTGATAGCAGCGAAAGCTGACGAGTGACCTCAGCGCGAACGAACGCCTTGATCTGCGATAGCAGCGACTGAAGGTCAGAGGTGGTAGTCAGGCTTGAGAGAGTGTCATCTGGGACGTTAGGGCGTCGCTTGAGAAGACGCTGTCGTCAGAGCTCGTCGAAACTCTGACACAGCAGATCTTCGAGATAGTGGCAGGGTTCTTCGAGAAGAGCATTTGAAAAGCGTCGTCGGAAATGCCTTTCATTATGTGTCGTACCTTGTTAGTATCCACCATCGTCGGGTCAATACGCCGGCAGAGGTCGAGGATCTCGTCGATGTAGCTGGTGAATGTCTCACCTGTTTGTTGGGACCGGCTTCGTAGGCGTTGTTCTGCGTGAAGTTTCCGCACCCTAGGGTGTCCAAAAGCAGCTTCGATACTGGTCTTGAAGGTCGTCAAAGTGGGAATGTCCGCCTTGGGGGTTTTGTACCACAGCATGGCGACATTCATTAAAAAAACATCTCGGTACCGAGTTTCATGGCATCATCCTATTTGTTAGTATAGGGCTCGTTCAAAGGATTCCAGCCAATCCTCAACGTCTTTCTCGTCTGTGCCGCTGAAGATGTCGGGTTTCGGCGGCTTTCGGCTACGCAATTGCAGGGTCGGAAAAAACCGCTGCAGCCTCCACCAAAATATTATGTAAATGTAAGGCTAAAAGCGGTAGCAGCGTTGGTACAGAACCAGCTGCCCGGGTATACAGGCGTCGTCGCAGCAACGGCAGTCCTCGCTTGCGCCTCACGCCAACGTGTCGATGTCGCTCCCACAGTGGGCATTCCTCTTCACTACATGTTATGCAGTGATTATTAGGACCAGTGTTGCAGAGTTACCACTGCGAAATTGGAATGACTCCAAAATCATTTCACATTTTCGCGACCCCAGAATGAATGGGAATTGAATAGAGACGAAACTTGATGCCATAGAATGGGAGTGAAAGTAAGCACAATTTGCCCAAAATGGAAAGGGAATAGAATTACGTCTTTTTATAGAATGGGAGTGAAAGTAAGCACAATTTGCCCAAAATGGAAAGGGAATAGAATTACGTCTTTTTTCTGAAATTGGAGCACATCTTCGCCTATCTGTCGTTTTTTTAAACTTCAAACATCGTATAGTAATTCAGAGCTTTCAATTGAACAATAAAGCAGCATTGTTAAAATGGCTTGGCTGATAACAAGCACGGTACTTTCATAAGCAACGCACCTACAACAAATCTGTTCTGATATGAACTGTGCTCCTCCAAAGTTTGGCGCTATTCTTCGCGTAACCGCTGTTAAGTGGAACCAGAGCGACAGCATCACCCCCTTTTACGCCTTCTGATTTTTTTCTCGCAGCCGCACCCCAGCGACAGTCTCCACCTAACTCCTGTCTTCCCACTATTCACTTCTTTTTTCCTAGCACCTGTCACCGTCGGCGACTCGGACGCATATTCCAAAAACGCTTCGCAAAGTTGATCGATCGATATTTGGGGTTTACCGTGCCTAAACCAACATATGATTATGAGAGCCACCTTAGTGGAGGGCTTCGGAACATTCGACCACTTGGGGTTTTTTAACATGCATCCAAACCTGAGCAAACAGGCCTGCAACATTTTCGCCTCCATCGGAAATGCAGCCGCCGCTGCAAGGATTCGATCCCGCGACCTGCGGGTCAGCAGCTGAGTACCTTAGCTAATAGACTACAGCGGCGGGGCGCTTCTGAAAGTTGTGATGCTTACTAACCCGGGCGCGATCTTTTGTTCACTGCAAGCTTTCAAATACCAGTTTGCACGCCATCTCGCCTCGTATTCCCCCGCAGGTTTTTGCAATACTGTACCGCCTCTATACACATGGGCGCTTTCACGCGAACATGTGTCAGCGAAGGTTTGTAGGTCAGCGCAGCACACATTCATACATGATAAATGGTTCTGGAACACGCCTGAAGCTGGAATGCGCGCAGCCACAGCCACTATACGGTATCGCCGCAAGACCAGACGCGATGATTCGTGCCGAATAAAACCCACGTTTACTCTGTTCCAGGATGGAGGTAGGCCCAGGTGGTGCCGTGGTAACTGACGTGCTTGATGGCGGCTAGAGAAGAAGGAGGAAGAAAGTTTAAGCGGAAAGACAGGGAGGTTAGCCAGTTCTTAGACCGGCTGCCTACCCTGTGCTGGGGAAATGGGTGAGGGGAATGAAAGATGTTAAAAAGAAATGTTGCGAAGAGAGGGAGAAATTACAAAAAAAATTGCGACAGAGGAAAGGCAACATCAAAGAGTATAAGACACTAAAGTCTGTCTTTGAGGCCAGTTGTCCGCAAAAAGCGCAGCAAAGCTTTCAAAGCCTTCTGGGCTGAGGATGGGCTCGGCCTATGACCGAGAATCCTTTGTTCCGACAAAGGCCGATCGTCTAGTCTATCCAGAGCTGCAGTGAGTTCTTGTCTTTGCGCGTTGAAATGGGTGCACTCACACAGAAGGTGCGCGATGGTTTCTTCGCAACTGCAGTAAGTGCATGTAGGAGAGCTGGCCATCCCAATGAGATAAGAGTATGCGTTCGTGAAGGCCACTCCAAGCCACAGGCGGCATAGAAGAGTCTCCTCAGCTCGAGATATCCTTGGGGGAAGACGAAGCTGCAGATCGGGATCCAAGTTATGCAGGCGCGCGTTTGTGAAGTCTGTTGAGTTTCACTGTACCAGTGTGGGGTCACGTGCAAGTGAACGAAGTCTTGTAGCTGCGTCGGTTCTTGAGAACGGGATGGCTCTGTATTGGTTACCATCATGTACAGGTCTAGCGGCCTCATCTGCGCGGTCATTGCCATATATACCGCAATGACATGGTATCCACTGATACACTATGCTGTGCTGTTTTTTGGTTGCTTGGTGATGAAGAAGCTTTATTTCAGCTACTAACTCTTCATTAGGTCCATGGCGAAAGGGTGATATAAGACATTGAAGAGATGCCTTCGAGTCCGAGAAGATCGACCGAATTCCCGAAGGTTCTTTCATTATAAACTCCAGAGCTGCACGAATGGCTGCAAGTTCTGCAGCTGTCGACGACATCAATTGCGGTGTCATGAATTTAATTGTGATGTGCCTCGCGGGAATAACCACCGCCCCTGCAGAGCTTACTGAAGCCACCGAGCCATCAGTGCAAATGTGAAGGCGTCCGTTGTGCTTCTCTTGCAGGAAAAGTAATGTGGCCTGCTTCAGGGCTAGATGCGACGACTTTTTCTTATTTTGGATACCAGGAATTGAAAGAAGGGCTTTGAGTGGGTGTAGGCACCATAATGGTATCGGCGGCTGTGCTTCATGCGTGAAGTGCAATAGAAGCACTGCGCAATGCTGAGCTACAGTTGCGCTGAACGCTGAGTGGGGCCTGGAAGTTCGAAGTGAGGCGAGGTGATGAGATGGAAGCCGAGCGAAATGTCTTATGTGCATTCTCAGAGCGTCTACGCGGATGTATGCGTTGACTGGATAATCACGCGCAATGATGACTGTCGCTGCGGTAGACGCGCATCTCGGGAGACCAAGGCATATTCTCAGGGCTTGGGCTTGGATCGACAGGAAGACGCGCAAGTTTGTTCTTCGGATCCCGCAAAGCACGGGTAAGCTGTATCGCATATAACCGAGGAACAGAACAGTGTAGAGTTGAAGCATTGCTCGTACCGATGCACCCCACGTTTTTCAAGCAAGAAACCTCAGTACGTGGGTGATCTTGGTGAATTTAGTTTTCATGGGGGCGATGTGAGGGCTCCAGGAGAGGTCGCGATCAACTATGACTCCGAGGAATCGGTGGATCTTCACGTAGTTGATCGTGTGTCCGTTGATTTTAATAACATATGGGCTCATAGTCTTATGCGTGAATGCTATAAGCGAGCATTTCTCTGATGACAACTCTAGTTCCCATTCTTTCAGGTATTTTGTCGCTATTGTAGCCGCTCTCTGAAGCCGGGCACGCAAATGAAGGCGTGTTACGCCTGACGCCCAGATGCAGATGTCATCTGCATATATTGATAGACGGACAGATTCTGGAAGTGCGTCAATGAGGCCGAGTAGTGTTAGAATAAAAAGTGTAGGGCTAAAAACACCGCCTTGAGGCACACCTCGACGGTTGCAATGGTGCGTTGTTGTGCCATTCTCCGTCTGTACAAAGAAAGTTCTGCCTTTCAGATAGCTGAGGATCCATTGGTAAACCCGACCCCCTAATCCAACATTTTCCATGACATCCAGAATGGCTTCATGTGATACGTTATCGTATGCACCTTTCACGTCCAAGAACAACGCCGCAGATAAACGTTTCAGTCTTTTTTGATGCTGAACAGATGAGACCAGGTCTATAACGTTATCAATTGCGGCCCGCCCACGCCAAAAGCCCGTCATAGCATGAGGGTATACCTCGTGGCACTCCAGGTACCACTCTAGGCGAGTCAAAATCATCCTCTCCATCACTTTCCCGAAACAGCTGATAAGCGCGATGGGGCGATAAGAGGTCAAGTGCAGAGGAGATTTACCTGGTTTAAGAACAGGGACGAGGCGGCTGGATTTTCATGAATGAGGGATAAATCCGCTGCTCCACGAGTCGTTGTACACGGATAGAAGGGCCCGTCGAGCTGCTTTTTCGAGGTTGCAAAGAGCCATGTACGTGATTCCATCCGTACCAGGCGATGAAGATCGTTTGCATGCCGTCAAGGCCACTTGTAGTTCCTCTAGAGAGAAAAAGGCGTCCATTCTTGAATCTCTGGAAACTGGACTGTTTTCTAGGTGGCGCGTGGTGCACGCGGACGCATGACCGGCAACTTTTATGCAGAAATCTTCTGCTACTTCGATTTCAGTGCGTCCTTGGTGGAGAGAAAGACACTTGAAGAGGCGATGTTGATGTGGCGATGTTCGTAGTCCACGGACAATCCTCCATGTCTGCGTCGAAGACTTGTGTGGA